TCGCCAACACATCATGTAATTAATCATTTATGTTTTGCTTACATCATCACCCCCATTTCACCCGCTTCTTTTTCCCTCCCTGTTCTGCATTCTCCGACTTTCCTGAACCGGTGGAGGAGGGACGCTATTGGTTACACTACATGCAATATGCATGCTGCTTTTGCTAGAAGAGTCTCACACGTGCACATACACACACTTTTATTACAGTTTCCTCAATTTTATCAACAAATAGTACAACATGCATATAAGATATTTATTTGTTGATGAACCAGATTGAAGAGACAGAAGTCTCATGAAATATCAGAAGAAACAAAATACAGGGTTATCCAAATTAAGTGTCCACCATTAGTAACTTTGTTATTAGTGAAAATACAAAGTTGTTTGAATTAGCAAACTAGTAGCATTTTTAACGCTGGTAAAAATGAGAAATAAAAAAAACAATTGAGAGTCGTTATTTTGATTTTTTTCAGTAAAATAACATTTTTTTAAATGGAAACCCCTGTATATTATATTTTTTTCTGTTAAAGCATCAAATTTTAAACAAAAAAGTTCATAATGACTTTTCCGCTAAAGTCAAAAATAAAGTCAAAATAACGATAAATATTTTTAATTATTTGCAGTATTATAATATTAAGACGGCTATGAAAACAACATGGCGTTCGCGATTTGACAACATTAAGATAAGCGACAAATTGTTAAACTGGACATACTCGCAACTAGAAGGCTTTGGAAAACAATGATAAAATCAAATAATGTCAAACATTAGTGTAAATACTTGTTTATAAGCTTTATTGTGTCATTAATTTAAAGAAAAATGTTCTCCCATGAAGAAAAGTGTGATATGTTAGAATGCTATTTAGTGTGCAGAAAATCCTCCTTGAGAGCAAGAGAATACTACAGTGAATTATATCCCGCTCGCATTCAACCGTATGAACGATATTTTCTGAGACTTTATCGAAAATTTAGGGGCAACGAAAATGTTTTTGCTAAAACAAGGGCAAAAAAAGAATTCATAATAAGCGAGGCCACGGAAATTGCAGTTATTGGATATTTCGAAGGTTATCGTGAGAATTCAATAGCAGATATTCTCAAGGACTCTAATTTCAGTTATGGTACTGTTCAAAGGATTTTAAAAAAATACAAATTTATTCCGTATAAGTACCGACCAGTTCAAACGCTTTTGGCAGGGTATCCAGAGAGAAGACTTGCTTTTGCCATTGGTATCTTAGCTTCTGTCGCCAAAATGTAAATAACTTTCGTTACCTTTTATGGACAGATGAATCAAATTTTTCAAATTCTGGAATGTTTAATAGAAAAAACCACCATTATTGGTCAAGAGAAAATCTTTTGTTAGTACATCCAAGAGGCCCACAAGTCCGTTTCAGTTTCAACGTTTGGTGCGGTATAATTGGTTCAAAAATTGTTGGCCCGTTCTTTTATGAGGGAACCCTAACTGGTGAAAGATATGTGGAATTTATGTCAGAAATTCTGACTAATTTCTTAGACGAATTGGATCTTATAAGTAGACATCATCTGCATTTTCAGCAAAATGGCGCACCTGCCCACAACTCCAGAGGTACTTATCATTTTCTAAGTACTACTTTTAATGATCACTGGATAGGAACAAATGGCCCAATACAGTGGCCTCCCAGATCACCAGATCTAAACCCACTTGATTACTTCTTGTGGGGTTACTTAAAGAACCAAATTTACAAGCGAAGGTACGATAACCTTGACGCGTTAAAGACTGCAGTTAGGGAAAAGATAACCCAGATAGATGGTAGGACCATACTTAAGACAGTTCGAGCAGTTGAAAAACGTGCCCAAAAATGTATTGAAGAACAAGGTGGTGTTTTCGAGCATCTTCTTTAAAAAAAATTGTTATTGTATTTTGTAAGATTATAAGTTGATGTTGAAAATAAAGTTTGTCGATACAATTTAATTGTTTCAGATTGGAGGCCATAACTTCAATAATTTGTAACCTAGGAGAAAAGTTATTGAAAGCTTTTTTGTTTAAAATTTAATGCTTTAACAGAAAAAAATATAATATACAGGGGTTTCCATTTAAAAAAATGTTATTTTACTGAAAAAAATCAAAATAACGACTCTCAATTGTTTTTTTTTATTTCTCATTTTTACCAGCGTTAAAAATGCTACTAGTTTGCTAATTCAAACAACTTTGTATTTTCACTAATAACAAAGTTACTAATGGTGGACACTTAATTTGGATAACCCTGTATACTAAAGTTTGCTGCTGCCTCAAGGCCCATTTTAGTGTACAGCGTGATGTTACAACACTTGGCCGGACTTCATGGGGTAATTTTGGCGATTCATAAACGTTCATATAAACTTTTGAAAATTTGTTCTTCGAAATTCAGTAGTTACAGGTATTTCACCAAGACTTTAACAAAAAAACTCCTTGTTAAAAGCCACAGATTGTCTATGATCACCAGACATCGTATTCAAATCATTGTTGCTTTATTGAGAATTTTAAGAGAAATCGAAGAATTATTAGCACTATATTTATTCGTCAAAGAATCGTACACTATCATATTTTCTTTTTACTATCTACAAATATGCAGCTTCGGTATGAGCATCACTCAGAAATATTTACTTCAAACTTCAATCTTTCCGTGATAATATTCTTGGTTCCTATAACATACCGCTTTTACAATGAATAACTCTCATTGTCGATATCCTTATGAATTTTAAGTATTTAGGAAATGGATCTCCAAAAAGCACTGTTTCAGCTTGTAGTGTTTGTGCCTCTAACATTCAATTTAATTATATGAATTTTAATTTGACCAAAAAATCTTCTTAGATTTTTCCGAGAAACTTGTTAAAATGAAATTTATTTCCGTTTTTTTTTCACTGATAATATGATGAACTCTAACCCTATGAGCCAACAGAAAAAACCTAAATATTTTGCATCACCATAGACGATCTAATTTAGTATAACAATTAGATCTCAACCTTCTACACACTATTAACTGCACACTTACATATCACTATGTATCACAACCAAAAAGACCATCACTACAGCCACTTTAATTGGCCACTTGGAAAACTGTTGGTGCAAAATGTATAGAAAAGGATTCGCCTAAAGTTTCCACAAACATTCTATACAAAACTGCCAGTCAAAATAAAGTATGTTAAGACACTATTCCACCATTGCTAGAAGTTGGTAAATTTTTGTCTTTTATCCTCGTGTGAGCTAATGTGCTGAGATAGTGATAATAAAATAAAGCACCTTGCATGCTATTGATTTTCCAAATAAGACTCGAGATATAATAGCTTAAAAGTAACTCGTAAGTACTTAACAAATTTGGATTTTGACGGCAGATTTAAGATAAACCGAATCGTTAACTTGCATGCAAAAATCCAGCTATTTGAAGATTTATGTTATCTTGAGCGAAAATACCCGTTGTATGATAAGAAAACAAAATATTTTTTGGTTTTCCCCAAAAGAGAGATTTCAGAATCGGCATACGAGGTCTGTAGATTAAGTGATGAGACTGGCAACCTAGCGTTAGATCTGGCAACACTGGAGGCGCCAGGCTTGTAGGGGAGACATGGGAACATGTGATCTACTTTCACTACAAGTTTGAACTCGCTCGAGTCATTTGATTGTCCGTAGCGATTTTTTTGTAAAACAGTTTTTCCTATTGTGTTCTGAAAATAAATGATATCAATTTCGAGCAACGGCCTGCTATCAGGTTTTGCACAGTGCAACAAAAACTCTTGCTAAAATTCAGCAGGTCTACGGAGATAGTGTTTTGTCAAGAGCTCAGGTTTTTAGGTGGTATAAGGCATTTGCAGGGGGAGAGAGTCGTTTGGCAGTCAGAATGATCAAGGAAGAGTTAAGTTTGACTCAGACCACCGAGATCAAGAACAACGGGGTGTTGCATCACGATAATGCTCCTTGTCAAACAGCAATGTTAATAAACGAGTTTTTGGCAAATGAAAACATTCCTGTGGCTTCACAGCCTCCTTTTCTTGAGTCGTTGTGAGTTTCTTCCCGAAGTTGAAAAATCACCTCAAGGGAACTCATTTTAGGACAGTCGAAAACATTAGGTAGTAGATGGTCTCTGACTGTCGAACGCAGAGGTACCACCCGGCGGGTCTCTTAGGAGGGCATGTTGCATGCACACGTGTTCCTCGACCGAGTCCGTGTGGCGAACCTCCATTCCCCTGTATCCCCCTATAGCCGCACGGTACCCCATGGGTGTTTAGGCCTTAGGCTTTCGTGGTAGTTGGAATATAAAAAAAACTCAAACGGTTGTAACCGATTAGCTGAAGGCTATTCCAGTATCAAAGTTCTAGCACTACTACAGCGCTGTGTGACTTCAGAAGGAAATTTTTTTGTGGAGTGACAATATAAAATTGTAATGATATTTGAATAAAAAAAATCAGTCTCATCACTTAATTCACAGACCTGTTATATTCCGTACTAAAGTGAGGCTGCGGATTGGAAGATAATGACATAACTTATCGTACTCAGATGCCGTTGCTGTGTGCGTATGTATGGGGTGATCTGAAAGTTAGAACTGTTCTTTCAATTTAAAGCGCTGCCCTTTCATGCGGCACCCAACGCACACGTCCAAGAAGACCACCTGAATACACGTATGAGGCCCATTCACAATAAATACGATATTGGAAAGTTATTGCTATATGATTTTCGTTTTTTCAAATTTGATTTCTAAACAAACGGCTCGGTTTACTTATATGACAAACGGGTGAATACTGACGCACACCACATGGTTTCCAGTAATCGTCGAACCCGTATGCTTTGAAAGTAAAATGAGCTTATTTTCACACGGGTCCTTACCAGAACTATACCCTATCTAAAGGAAAGTACCAAGTTTATGATCATTAAATCCCCAAATGGCTGGATAACCCTCACCCCCTTGCAAGTAGTACCACATAAGGCGTTCCCTCCCCTCGTTCGGGAAAGAACAGCCTGGCTAACCGCCTGATAGGAGTTTTTCGGCTACGTGCAGGAGATGATCGACTGGATGTCCTACCTGTCGGTGGTGTCCACGCTTTGCTTCGTGAAGTTCTTCGCCGTAGGACCCGGCAGCATCCCCTGGATGATCACCGCGGAGCTGTTCTCGCAGGGTCCCAGGCCTGCTGCCATGAGCATCGCCGTGCTGGTCAACTGGATCGCCAACTTCGTTGTTGGTATCGGCTTCCCCAGTATGAAGGTGAGTGTTAATTTTTTCAATGGTAGTAGCATATTTTGTTCTATTTTTAAAATTGTTTGGGTAAAAGTTCCTTTTGTTGACTATCACTTGAAGCTCAAATAACAGGCTTCTGACTACTAACCCCTTTAAGGCTTGAATAATAATGATTCATGAGCGATATTGTATGACCTAGGATGGTTTGCATACTCGAAACATATTTTCAAATAGAATGAAAGTATTGGATACTAATACTTCAAGTAAAAAAAAATGAACAACGAAAAACGCTATATAGTGGCATTACTCCCATTTCCTGAATATGAGTTGCAATAAATTAGTAATAATAGCCGGTGAAGTCAATATATCCATTACGTTTATTAACGATTTTTCTAATTATTTATACTCATAGACTTGACTTAGCCTTAGCCTTACTAAGGATGTAAAATCACTGAAGTCAAAATTTAGGATTTTTTATCACATTAGCCATGCTTGAATTTAGCTCCAAATTAGCCAAAACATGCATGAAGGCCATTTCTGCCGATACCGAAGAGCAACAGTAAAAATGAAGTGACTACCTAGCGGACTCTCCAATGGTTACCTTGTCCGAATCAACTTCTTCTTCTTCTCGATGGAACGTAATAAAATTATTTATTCATGATTCATACAATAGCAATCGCCAAGTCAAGGTAAGTCAGCTCCTAAGGGAATTATCAAGGATAAAATATTGAAATCCCACCTGTAGCTATAGGCGTAAACTGTCTCTGAACTTGGGCTAGTAATAGAAAAATCTGAACTATATTTTCCAATTATCAAAACAGCAAAATGGGCTACAAAGGACTGAAAGTCAATGAATGTTGCCATGGAAAAGAAAAGCCTACAATGATAGGGTAAAGTCGCCTAATATGAGACCGTTCCTAATATGAGACCCTAGATGATCGTCTCTGTAGAGTCCTGTAAGCCCACATTCATATGATTTACAGGTTACTAGTGGTATAGTACGGGCCCTCTCCTCTAGATGGCGCAATATTTCATTTAACAGCTGTTTAATGCGAGATTTGTTAAAATTTGTACTGTGAAGTTTTTTACCGTTTTCCCTTTATATATTTACTTTATCATCATGGTAAGTATATTTTGGTTTGTAATATGATTTGTATGTAGTACAACAAATGTAGTCTTATTCCCACCTTTTCTTTATCCATTCGAAATACAACAAACTAACCTATAAATTTTTTTTCTAAATGTGTTGTTGGTTCCAAATATGAGACCCTCTGGGGTTCCCATTATGAGGAGGGTCTCATATTAGGACCCCGATATTTATATAGAATTTTTTCAGGGGAGTTCTTCTAAACGTCGCAAACAATGGAACAAGGGGCAAATGGTGTTGGCGATTAAAGCAGTTCGAACTCATATCATGGGTTACAAGACAGCGGCGAAACATTTTCAAGTACCGAAAGGTACCCTTGAACGTTATGTTAAAAACATTAATTTTTCTCCTGAAGAACTCGTTCGTACAACACTTGGTAGAAAACCTGCTTTAGGAAAAGCTATCGAGGATGAGCTAGTTCGATACTGTCTCGATATGGATAATAGGTTTTTTGGTCTGCGAAGATCTGATGTAAAACGCATGGCCTTCGAGTTGGCAATTGCTAATAATATCCAGCACCCATTTTCACAGGAAAAAGGCGTTGCAGGAAAAAAATGGCTTAGAGGATTTTTCAAACGTAATCCCCATCTGTCTGTTAGGTCACCTCAAGGCATGTCCAATGCCAGAATACGGGGATTCAATCAAGAAAGCGTTGCTTCATTCTTCGATTTGTACGAAAAGGAATTATCGAAAATCAATTTTGCACCACAAAGGTTGTTTAACGTGGATGAGACAGGGATTAGTGTGGTGCAACATAAAAGAAGTAAGGTCATTTCTGCTAAAGGTAAAAAGCAAGTAGCAACACTTACATCAGCTGAAAGGGGAGGCCTTATTACAGTGGTGACATGCATGAATGCCGTAGGAACTTACGTACCGCCTTTAATTGTGTGGCCTAGAAAAAATATGAAAATTGAATTGATGGACGGTGCGCCAACCGGTTCCATTTACGCATGTCACCCTTCTGGATGGATTCAAGCCGAAATATTTACACAATGGTTTGACCATTTTATTAAATTCACAAAGCCAACACCATCAGATCCTGTGTTATTGGTGCTCGATGGACACTACTCCCATACGCGTAACATAGACGTAATAAATAAAGCTAGAGAAAACCACGTATCAATTGTTTGCCTACCTCCCCACAGCACACATCGCATGCAACCGTTGGATGTAGGATTCATGGGGCCTCTGAAAACGTACTATGCTCAGGAAGTTGAGACTTGGCTGCGAAACAACCCTGATCGTATTGTCACGCCATTTATCATTGCAAGACTATTTTCAGTTGCATATAACAGAGCAGCCACTATGGAGGTTTCGGTGAACTCGTTTAGAACAACGGGACTATTTCCGCTTAATAGAAATATTTTCCGAGATCATGATTTCTCAGTGTTCGAAGTTGAGGAGAAATTAACAGTCCCTGAAGATACTGTAAGTCGTCCTCCACCGGGATCTTCCACAGAATCTAGAAACATTGAATATACTTCAGGAAAATCAGAAGGTATCAGTTGCATTAAAACAGCTTTAGATAATCCCCGTCCAGGAACTTCCAAAGATTCTAGCGATATTGAGGATGCCGCAGATGATCCACGGCCGGGAAATTCAAAAGAGTCCAATGATCAGGGGGCTGTAAATAGTTCTCGTAAAGCCGTCAAATACCTTTCAGAACCTACAAAGCTTGTCAGTCCAGTGCAGATAAAACCTCTTCCCAAAATAAAGAGCAAGAAGCCCAGTGCTCGTGCAGGCAGTGCAGCATTGATTACCTCATCTCCTTACAAAGATGATTTAACAGAAAGTTTGGATAAGAAACGTAAAAAGGAAGATTCCGCAAAACATGGCAAAGTTACATCAGTTACAAAGAAGGTTAAGTTTGACGATGCAAGGAAAGCAAAGTTTCGCAAACCAAAAAGTACTAAACGGTTTAAAAAGAAGAGGGCCGATTTAAGTGACAGCTCAACTGATGAAAGCGATGACTTGGGAGAAGTTGTTGTTGATGATGAGAGTGATGGTGACGAAAATTATGACGCAGAATGCCTCTTCTGCACAAGCATGTACGTATATTCTGCAGACAAGCATGGTGAACAGTGGGTTAGGTGTACAGTGTGCTACAGATGGGCCCATGAAGATTGTGGTGCAGAAGATCCTATCTTTGTGTGCCCAATGTGTGAAAAAAGACAGAAAAAGTAACTATATAATGTATTTTTATGGTCTATTTACTCTAAATAATGTTATTTGGAAAGAAATTTATAGGGTCTCATATTAGGAACCCAATTTTTTTTTAGTTACTTTTTACATTTTATGAGTATTGTAGCTTTATTTGAAAAAATAAATAAAAAAGTACATTTTCGTTCCGTGTTTTTTAAAGCATAAACCCTTACCAATAAAACAAATCAGTAATAACTTAAAATTTGTTATTTTTACAGAAATTATAGATGTTTTCCAAAATGGGTCTCATATTAGGCGACTTTACCTTATCGTTCACAATGCCCATGAGACGTCAATGTGAACAAAATTTTTGTTTTCTCTACCTCAATAACCCGATGAATCATCATTGATCGCAGACCTTCAGTAAAAATGGCTTTTCTCATCCTAAGGAAAACAATTATAATAAAAAATATTCTTTATCAGTATTTCACCAAAGAGTCAAATCGTTCATGATGTTACACAACTCAGCTAACTACTGCACCAGTATTATTTCTCATACATTGAAAACTCAATTTGTCTGACGGCTTGAGGTCAATATGTACGAGAGACACTTTTCTCTCTCGTATAGACCCATTATGTAAGAAAGAAATAGAAGCTGGTTGGATATCGAAACTCATCACCGCGTTGCCTAGCATCATTTGACAACGCCGCATCTTCTACATTCTAATCCAAGATATCCGCCTCCATGATCATAGTTGAGCGATTTTGGTAAGCACCCATCTAGCGCTCGTAGAGGTGTGTCATCCTGCTTCCAAATGGCTTTCACATGCGTACACGCAGGCAGTGATAATTTGTATTGCATAACGTTATTTGTTACATCCGATCGCAGCGCTGTCGCAAAATGTAACAATAACTTAGGATATGTTGATTTTATCATCATCGGCGCAAATCGACACTTCTAAAATAAATTAAAACACTAAGTTGCATCAAAATTGAAATAAATAAATAATTCTAATCAAAATAAAAACAAAATATTAAATTAAATTTTTATTATTTACTATTAGTATACTTAAGTATATTACTTTTACATATTCATAATCGTTATTATATAATGTTTTTTATTTTCAAAGGTGGCAGAATAACTTTAAGCTAAACTTCGCCCTTTAATAAAATACGTTTTATTTGTATTAATATTAAATACTCGAAGATACCTCCCTCTTGGGTTTGACAGTAACCTAACCTATTGCACGGGCTTTTGCGTCACCGTTGCTAGGCATTGTGGTAATGACCTTCGGTCTTCAGCCGGCTTTTATCTCTTTCTAACATATGTTTATACACACTTCTCTCTCATACACATTGAACTCCGGACACTCTGGTATTAATCCCGTACATTGTACGTTTTGTCGCTAATCACTTCAGATTACAAAAGTGCTCGTGTAATTGCGACTGACTTCTGAAACTATGAAATGTACTACTTTTTCCAAGAAAATCATGCAACAGATCAGTCTGGATAAGGCGCAATATAAATCTTTCTTGAGCATTTATTTATTCAATCACCATCGAATTTACTTTCAAAAAGTTTTTCACTCCCGAGTTGTTATCGAAGCATCTTCAAGCTGGATAATCTCATCTAGAACAGAAAACAGCTCAATATTAATTGTTAACACTCACATTACATAGACGCTCAGCGCTGCTAGAATTGACAAGAGTGATTATCAAACTCGCAAAAATCTACATTCTTCTACATCATTTTAAGACTGCATAGTAACTACTGTAATCAACCTAGTAAACATATCCTTAACAGCAAATGTTCTGTAAGATTTACGTCACATAATTGTTC